GCAGCCATCGACGCTATGTGCCCGTTGTCATGTCGGGCGGCGGTGCCTAGTGCCACAGCGAAGCTGGCGGCTTGGGGACAGTGTTGCATTGTGCTGCCAGAGGTCAGCAGCTGGAAGAGGGCATGCAGACTCTGCAGTAGGACTACTGTGCTCTCTAACTGATACGGAATGGGCACTTGGCCGGGAATTCCCAGCACAGTGGGCTTATGCTCTGCCGCTAAGCTGGCCATTTGCAAGAGATGATCTGCAGTGACGGTGTCACCTGCTTCAGCGATGGCCAAAATTCGGATCCGCGTTGCTCTAGATTCCAACACGCAGAGGCTGGGCGGGAAAGTCCATGGAGCAGAGCACGCCAGGCCAGTCTCAGCTGACGTGGGCAACGGCGCAAACTCTTCCGGGAACGGCGCTAAGGCGACGTCCCAGTGCTTAGGGCTGCTCAGCCGGCGTAGCTTTTCACTGGGCGCCTCATCCCCTTTGCGTTTCCGCGAAGGAGTCGCAAAGGCAAGCAAGAGTGCTAAGACTGAATAGCACTTGCCGTGCTCCTCCAGAACTAGTCGATAAGCCTTCCCCGCCTGTGAACCCATATGAACTGTGCTTGAGGGGCTGCTAGCAAGTTGCTCATAATTACAGCTTTGGAAGTGTGCAGGGCAGAAGATGGCCGACTGTGACCACGCCGGAAAGGCTATACGATATTCATGCATACCTTGTAACCCCGTGGCTGTTGGAGTGACATCCACAACTAAGCCAAACTTGCGGACAGTGGGACTGCTCCACAGCTCTTTCTTTGTAGCAGCCTCATCAACAAATGTGAGTTGCGGGAGGAACAGGGCTAGGATGACAAACACCTCCCGGAATGGGATTGGTGCTAAAAGGTCTCGGGCCATTTCTGTCAGCCATTGAGCACACGCACTTTGATTACCTCTTCCAACCCGAAAGTTTTTCAGCAGTAGCGCATGTGCTTCTTCCATGGAGTCAATTTGCTGCCCCGCGACACACCTCTGTAGCAGCACTAGCAATTCTTGGTCAGATCGGTGGAGGTTGGACACCAACAAGCTAATGGCACCTTCCCAATCATCGCTGGTCATTACTGTTTCAAAGCGAATCCAGGAGGCCAAGCGCATGGGGGCAGCTATTCGGTCCCGGCGAGGAACCACCTCTGGGTGTGTGAGTTTTAGCGTGGTAAGACTGACCTGGCCTGCAGGGAGCTGGCACTGAAGCCAGTGCCAGTAATTATGTTTATGCTTGCCCATCCACCTTGCAGATTCTGTTACATACGTGATGTGCAGGGATTGTTGCAACATGCCAAACTCCTCCTCTGTCGGCTTCCAGTCGCACAGACAATCTTCAGCAGCATGGACAAGATAGTAGTTGCGTTTGTCAGGTTCTGCAGTGGCAACCAAGGCTGCGAATACACTCTTAGGCATTGCAATGGCACCTAGGCGCGCTGTGGTCTGACTGGCTGGCCAGAGGCAACGAATTGCTAAGGCAATCACTGCTCCAGTGTAGCTTCCTGCACTGAAACCATTCACTGTGAAGTGAATGGGGTCTTCTTGCACTTCCGGTCGCAGACACCCCAGCCCTGGCAAGTAGGCAAGGAGTCGTAGTGGCTGCAGCGAGAGCAGTTTCCACCACAGGCCACTGAGGAAGGCTTGGTGCGGCAACCGTCGGTGAGCAGGGAGAAGCCTCGCTGCTTTCAGCACTAGTTGCGTGCGTTGATAAATTACGGCTGCCTTGCCATACCCGAGGTCTTCCCATTTCTGGCACGGGTTCTGTATGAGCGCAAAGAGGGTGGCAACTTCATGCACTCCGGTCGACCAGCCATAGGCAACCCCCCACTCCTGATCATTGAGGACATCTGCCGGGGAGAGTGACGGCCCATAGACTTGACTTTCTCCCACGGGAGGGCACATGCAATGGAAGTGCGGGGGGACTTCCCCTTCAAGGGCACCTCCCCCCAGCCCTCCGCAGTTGATTTGGAATACTGACGGCAGTGGCGGGAAGTTGCGTCCCATCCAATATTCGTTGAGTTGGGCGACCATCCATAGGACTGTGACCCAGACGAATTCATCCTGCTGGTGGTGAGAGATGGCTTCGAAAACTTGCGGTGCGATACCTTCCAAGGGCATGAATGAGCCTCGAAAGTGACACAACAAATCGTGATTGGCTTGAAGAAATTGCTCTTTTTCTCCAGGGACAAGACACTTGGGCTGTGCCAGCGCAGCTCGCAATTGCTCATACGGAAGAAATGAAGTAAGTAGCACCGCTCTCTCCTCCCCCGATAGACGAAGGTTACAATGAGGTCTAAGACCCCATATCGAATGTCCTGATGGTCGAGTTCAAAACGAACAAAATCAGTGACGTCAACATATGTACCATCATCTGCCAGGAACAACGGTTCTGGATGCGCCTGCACGGCTAGTTTGACTTGCAGTTTGTCTTTACACCGATGTGTGCAGGCTAGGTCAAGAGTCGAGTCGGCTGATGTGATACAAGAGAAGAGCTGTCAAGCTACTCTGTCAAGCTTTTTCTCTCACTCTGAGCCAAAAGTCTGCAGGGACAAATGGAGACAATTATGGGGGCCCATGGAAGAGTGGGGAAGGGGAGCAATCAGTCTCGTCTCAGGTTCACTGGACAGGGCACTTCTTTGGGTGCGCAAATGCACGCGGCGGTGGTAGATGCTCTTGCGTGCCGTCTTCCGCAACACGGTAATGAACATTTCCTTGTGTAATGCACTGCTGTGCCGGGAGCCTACTGCTTGTGGCCTGTCGGGGAGGCCAATCATTGGCCGGCGCCAGGGCTGGCGGCCTCGCCATCCCCCCAGGGTGAGTGGGTGGGGGATCTGCAGAAGCAGTAGCGCCCCCTCGCTGCTCTGTGTCAGGGAGCTGCGCAGCTTGCGAGAGTACCGCAAGCAGCTTTTCGTGGGTGGGATCAGCAGGTGTAACCTGCATGGGAGGATGAGCAGGCTTCTTGGGTTGTATGCGACCAGCTGTTTTCCGTTTGGGCGAAGCCTCCTCCTTTACAGGGGGACTACTGCGCTCCTTTGCCAGCAGACCTGCTTTGACTGGGGCTATAGTAGCCGGATCAAGCTCGTGCCCTCCCTGTGGAAATAAGGGGCGCTGTTCTGCAAGTGTAAGGAGGAGAGCATCGAAAAACTCCGCCAGTGGTAGCCTTATGCGCAAGACAACCTCAACTTGAGGGCGCCCATCTGGGCCCTGAGTGAGGGAGCACTGATGAGGGCCAACAATGAAAGGGAGGGCCATGGGCAACAACAGCTACTGTTTGTTTTGACCAGGCTGGGCAGAGGCGCGCGGTCACTGTTCTACTTCGAGCCTGAACAGCAGCAGGCTCTCTTAGTCTCATGCGATGAGCTTGAGAAACACAACTACCGGAGAAAGAACTTTGGTCCGTAGCTTGCTACGTAGGTAAAGGGGCCCGTGATGCGAGTTAGTATGCTCGCTAGTTGGTCAGCCACAACTTAGTTACCTAGGTTGGTCTGGTTAACTCTGGAAGCCCTTCATGTGGTAGCACTCTGCGTCTCTCTCAGGGCGGTAAGTATCATGTCCATTTCGCTAGCTAGTGCCCAGCACGCATTGGCCCCTGGCTGTACATTGCAATGCTGTCGTGAGTACGGAAAAGTTGCACGGGAGATGTCCTAATAGCGTCAACCGAAAATGCAACCCTCTGCGGAGATCGTGCGTGTCGAGTGCGCGAAATGCAGGCGAGAGTGCGATCTGTCCGGTGTGCGCGCAACCCTCTGCGGAGATCGTGCGCGTCGAGCGCGCGAAATGCAGGCGAGAGTGCGATTTGTCCGGTGTGCGCGCAACCCTCTGCGGAGATCGCGCGTGTCGAGTACGCGAAATGCAGGCGAGAGTGCGATTTGTCCTGCCCGCGCGCAACCCTCTGCGGAGATCGTGCGTGTCGAGGGCGCGAAATGCAGGCACTGGCGACTTTCTAGTACGTTAGTACGCGGAGAATCTGGGGAGCGGGAAGATGAGAACTGGCGACTTTGTAGTACAACTTTAGTAGGCGGAGCAATCTGTGGAGCTGGAAGCTGAGAACTGGCGACTTTGTAGTACAACTTTAGTACGCGGAGTACTTGGAGAGCTGGAAGATGAGAACTGGCGACTTTGTAGTACAACTTTAGTGCGCGGAGTATCTGTGGGAAGCTGGAAGATGAGAACTGGCAACTTTGTAGTACAACTGTAGTACGC